AATAAAATTGAATATTGAATAGCAAATACATTTTAACAATTAGCTAGTATTCAGAAAGTTACATATCATCAGTTCAACCATTAAGAATATGGCATCGACTAACCAAAACCCATATCATCAGAACTTTGAATTGAAGAAACTGTCAGGCCTGTCTGTTAATGAGACATTAGTAGTCACTTTGATTTTTTATTCATGCTGCAAATTCTGGGAGTTTATTTCCCAAAGGTGACAAGGGTGTTCTTGCTGAGTCTACTAAATCTTCAAAATCAATCTTTCTCCCCATTGGGCTACTCGTCTTGCGACTAGACTTTCTCTTGTTTGACTGCAAAAACAAAAATAATCAAATTAATAAAGAAGCATCCATTTGTTACATGTCAAGTGCTTCTCATATTATACAAAGATAAAATAAGTTTTTGGAGCTACATGTAACAAATACGGCAATTATAAGCAAAGAAAGACTGTTTTCTATCACCTTCACAGATGCGCTGCCGGTATGGGTATGGGTATGGCTATGGCCATGTTTACTATCAGAACCGCTATGGCTCCTTTCCATGCATCGCTTGGCCAATCTTTTATTCTCGTAATGCAACACGCTATTTTCCTCAAACAATAATTTGACCTATGGTATACCAAGTCAAGTTAGTTATTTCTTATGTTCATTAACAATCTGAAAATCGGAAAGGTCCACGAAAGAAATCCTAACCTCATCTTCAGCTCTGTGAAGATTAACCCTTAGATTTTCTTTATCATTTTCTAGAGATTTGACTTCAGCAACAAGACCCAAAACTCTCTGTGTTGATGGCTTCAAACTAGCAAATCCATAATAGAAAATCAGTATGAATTGATAACATGAAAACATACTGATACTATGGTTTAACCAGACTCACCAGTTCCAGGTTGTCAGCAACTTCTTACACTGATCATTTTCACTATTTGAATTCAAGAATGCAAATGTAGAAGACTCATCCGCAGTAGTAACTGTTGCCAAAAGGGAGTCAAGCAATTTTTCTTCATCGACTGTTCCGAAAGAAGAATCAACCTTCAATAGAAAGTAAAAATATCATTCATTAACATTCATGACCAAAGGACTAAAATTTGGGAAAGGCTTGAAAGCCATTACCATTTCACAGATAAGAAAATAGAGAAAAACAAAGAAACTATAAACAAGTGAGCGTGCCTGTCTGCCAGTAACTAGTCCAAATTCAGTAATATGGTTTTTAACTTAGCAATTAGCAACACCATTGTACCACACGTACATCGTAGATATACTGAACGAGTGTTCCAGATTATTTGAACAGGGTATATTGCGGCCACAAGCAATGGAAAATTATTTCAATTTCCATGATATCAAATTCCAGGCCTCTTTCCACAACAGATTTACTTTTATAATAATTACTTAAAAAAATCGTATAATTGAATGACCGAACTAATCATTAAACATAAACTAGTTTACGTTTGTTTCCATCATAGAAATAACATTAACTTCTTTTGAACAGGATATATTGCGGCCACAAGCAATGAAAAATTATTTAAATTTCCATGATATCAAATTCCAGGCCTCTTTCCTTTAGCTTAATAGAAACACCACCAAATTCAAACTTCAATCTAGTTCAGCACATGTACCTAGACTGTAAATAAACTGACAATTGCAAAACAATGAGTAAAATAAGTTCCAAAGTTCCTCCTGACAGATTTCACAATCAAGTTTCAATCCCCTTCCCATCGGATATCATTCAATAATTCTCTCAAACAGTTCGCATTGGCTTTTTGCATAAGAAACCAAACAAAATCTACAGATGAAATGATTTCA